ACCCTTCTGTGTAACATCATCCTATCTATTCATAGACAGGACTATACATAGGACACAAGGTCACCCATTTAGAGTGGATGAAAGGAGATTTAGTCTAAGCAAAGGAAAAGGGCCTTTACAGTAAGAACAATAAGAGGTGGTTTTATCCAAGTCAGTACAGACGTTTTAAACAGCAACTGGATAAATACTTACAAAAACATTATATTTATGGATAGAATAATTTTTTTTTCAATTTGACAATTTTTATTACATTTATCGATACAGAGGAAATATAAAACAAGCCTGTGTCCGTTTTAAAACGTTAATATGTGGGGTAATAATAGTGTTATCACTGCCCTTCTTGGGTGAAGAAGGAATTTTTTTATTTTTTTTTGGATCAACAGCAAAATCTCATGTGAAAAAGGCTGAACTAGATGGACACAAGTATTTTTTCAGCTTATAGAACTATGCAATCCTGCCAATAGAGAACAATTCATCGAAATTGGAAAAATACAGAACTTCCATCAATGAACCACATGTATGCAGGCGTTAAGTCCTATGATCATTTTAAGTGTCTGTGTGGGTAAATAGTTCAAGCAGTATATAATATGTTAAATATTTACATTTCTTAAAGAGAAATTCTTAAGTAAATTGAAAAAAGGCATCTGTCCAGTGTACAAGCCAAACCATTCCATTATCTGTATGCATACTGTGAAGGAAAGGGTTAAATATGCCTGGAGATTCTTTTCGCAATGGTTTCTATTTATTCATGTCCCACAGTCTCCCCTGCCTTATCGCTGTATTACCTAGACTAGCAGTGCATGCTCAGACAGATGTTTTAATCACATTGCTTTGTTTGTTTTTCATACTGTGTTTTTTCTCTATTCTTAACCAGACTTTCTGCTTCGGCCTCTGATCTATTTTATTTCTCTCCTTCTTTTATAACTTCTTTCTTTCTTTCAGCTGTCATTTAGGTCTTAAATATTTCCTTTCATTTAACCTTTCATCTGTATGGTCTTCGCTCTGCCTGTGTCTTTCTTAGGATGAGGTTCTCAGAACATGATACAATACAATAGGTGAGGCCTTCATATTGTGCTGACATCACAGTGTCATTTATTACTACACGCTGCTTCCTCTTTCTCTTTCATTAACGCACACTGCCAGAATATGGTGCTAGCTAGCCTCGGGGGCTCCTATCTTTTCATCTGTTGTCAGTATATCCTTGATCATTAAAAAAGAAAAAAAAAGTTTCAATTTAATTGTAACTGTCCCGAGATTCTCAGGCAGTCATCCAATAGTCTGCACAATAATAATAGTTTGAAAATGATCCTGTTTTGCAGCAGGGCCTGCTTAGCAGATTGCTGCTTCTGCTGTGCGCTTGAATAATATTGAATTTATTTTATTTAAAGGTTCTTCCACACGACAGCAAAGCAAGGCGTCTATTTGTAACAAGTGGTGGGCTGAAAAAGATTCAAGAGATATCTGCAGATCCCGGCTCACCTCTGCAGGAGTACATCAATACGATCAATAACTGTTACCCCGAAGAGATTGTCAGGTATGGAGGATTTTCTGTACAGTGCCTTTATCAAATTTCCATCCTTCCACTGACATTTTACAGAGCTTTCCTGTTCGGATAGGTGAATATATCAGAGAAACGGTTAAGTGCACACATTGTGATTAGTACAAACATATGTAAATTCTTTAAAAGATATATTTATAAGTGGGAAAAGGTCTATTTTATAAGGAGAATTACATTTTAGCATTCTACTGCCTCATTACCTGTCATTTGGCAAGAGAAAGGTAGATCTATTCTCCCTGTTCCCCACTTTTTAATTTGCACAAATATAATTGTCATTTCTGTGAACACTTAAATCCCTTTCTCCTTACTGTCATGGACTATCATTGTGTCCTAATATGTACTATGCCCACATAAACCGCTATCATATTTTATGCTTAATACCTCTTAATAATAGACCCATCACCAACAAATACCATATGCTTTCCCATATCTACCTGTTCTAAACATTCCCATTAACATGTTTTGCATCACAGGAAATCAGAGCGACACACATCAGCAACACCCATCATTACAAAAAGCAAAGCTCCAGTAAAATATTTATATTAGGTTTTATTTGGTGTGTATGTATGTATATATATATACACCCACACAGTGAGGGAACAAAGTATTTGATCCCCTGCTGATTTTGAATGTTTGCTTACTGACAAAGAAATGATCAGACTCAAATTTTAAAGGTAGTTGTATTTTAACCATAAGAGACAGAATATTAACAACAACAAAAATCCAGAAAAATGTATGTCACAAAGGTTATAGATTGATTTGCATGTCAGTGAGTGAAATAAGTATTTGACCCCTTCGACTTAGTACTTGGTGGCAAAACCCTTGTTGGCAATCACAGAGGTCAGACGTTTCTTGTAGTTGGCCACCAGGTTTGCACACATCTCAGAAGGGATTTTGTCCCACTCCTCTTTGCAGATCCTCTCCAAGACATTAAGATTTTGAGGCTGACGTTTGGCAACTCGAACCTTCAGCTCCCTCCACAGATTTTCTATGGGTTTAAGGTCTGGAGACTGGCTAGGCCACTCCGGGACCTAATGTGCTTCTTCTTGAGCCACTCCTTTGTTGCCTTGGCTGTGTGTTTTGGGTCATAGTCATGCTGTAATACCCATCCACGGCCCATTTTCAATACCCAAGATTTGACGGTACATGGCCCCGTCCATTGTCCCTTTGATGCAGTGCAGTTGTCCTGTCCCCTTAGCAGAAAAACACTCCCAATGCATAATGTTTCCACCTCCATGTTTGATGGTAGGGATGTTCTTGGGGTCATAGGCAGCATTGCTCCTCCTCCAAACACTGCGAGTTAAGTTGATGCCAAAGAGCTCGATTTTGGTCTCATCTGACCACAACACTTTCACCCAGTCCTCCTGAATCATTCAGATGTTCATTGGCAAACTTCAGACGGGCCTGTACATGTGCTTTCTTGAGCAGGGGGACCTTGTGGGTGCTGGAGGATTTCAGTCCTTCACGGCGTAGTGTTACCAATTTTTTTCTTGGTGACTATGGTCCCGACTGCCTTGAGATCATTAAGAGGATCCTCCCGTGTAGTTCTGTGCTGATTCCTCACCGTTCTCATGATCATTGAAACTCCACGAGGTGTGATCTTGCATGGAGCACCAGACAGACGGAAACTGACTGTTATTTTGTGTTTCTTCCATTTGCGAATAATCGCACCAACTGTTGTCACCTTCTCACCAAACTTTTTTTCGATGGTTTTGTAGACCATTCCAGCCTTGTGCAGGTATACCATCTTGTCCCTGACATCATTGGACAGCTCTTTGGTCTTGGCCATGGTGGAGAGTTTGGAATCTGATTGATTGATTCTGTGGACAGGTGTCTTTTATACAAGTAACGAGCTAAAATTTGAAGCACTCCCTTTAAGAGAGTGCTCCTAATCTCAGCTCGTTACCTGTATAAAAGACACCTGGGAGCCAGAAATCTTGCTGATTGATAGGGGTTCAAATACTTATTTCACTCATTGACATGCAAATCAATTTATAACTTTTTTGACATGCATTTTTCTGGATTATTTTTTTTTTGTTATCCAATCTCTCACTGTTAAAATACAACTACCATTAAAATTATAGACTGATCTTTTCTTTGTCAGTTGGCAAATCTATATATTTGTGGTCGGAAACATAAAAGCCGTAATGTTAAATTAATGGTTAATTAATGGTGAAAGTCGGTTGTGGTGTGGCAAAACCGATGTTCGGGTGGACCTATAAATAATAGGGCCCACCAGGGTAGAAGAGAGAAAATGGTAGGATGACCTGAATGGAATGGCCTAAGGAAGAGATTAGATTTATATAGAAAAATACACCTCCAACAATTACAGGCCTTTGGCCTTAAAACATATATGTATATATATATATTTGTCCAGGGATCTGACCTGGATTCCAAAAGGTGATCCCTGAATAAAAATGTACACCTGCTGTATTCAGGATAAATGGACACACGTTTTCTAAAAGTATTTTTAATAAAAGATAAAATCATTATTAAATGTCATTTTCTGAAAATCACTGAAATCTAAGTATAGATGTTATGTTTGTTTAGCTCTCAAAACAATATTTTAAAGTGAATTTAGACGCACTTGCTAGGAAGTAACCACAACAATAACACTTCAGGTGTTGTGGTTGCTGTGCCAGAGAGCAGGAGAACTACTTGTAGGAAGGTTCTCCTACTCTTCCTGTCTGTCAGTTACTCATCATAGAGGTCTATGTTGGCTATGCCAAAGAGGTGCTTGCCAGGTGAGGATGAAACCTGTTTATAAATGGGTTTTTCTCCAAATCTATACATTTGCTAGTACAATGTGTACATTGTTTTTTGTTTTCTTTAATTTCACATAAACAGTCTTGTACCATGACATGTACACTTTAAAAGACTTTGAAGGTTAGTCGTTTCTCTTTGTGTGAGTGAGAAAACATGACAGATGTACGTATATTTTAAACATATTTCAAAACTTAATTGGTTTCTTGTATTTTTTTTAGATATTATTCTCCTGGATACTCACAGACCCTTCTGGAGAGAGTGGAACATTACCAGCCAGTTATTTAAACCAAGTCACAACCTTTTTAATTAAACATTCTAAATAACTGCACACTCAAAATTGTGTAATGTGTGTTTTTTAATCATTTAGTGCTTAATACTCTTACTGTCTCTGTAGTACATCAAATTCTTATCATGAGAATTTTTATAAATTATAGTTATTTTTTTTGTATACTGGAGGTTACCCAAAACAGATTTGATTTTGCAATTAAACTCATTTGCACATGGGCCCTCAACACCCTCTGTTCCTGAGTATCCAACTCCTCATGTTGCAAATATTTGTCTGTTAGTCCACCTATTGTACAGCACTGCAAATTTGTTGGTGCTTTATAAATAATAATAATTGTATTTGGAATGCAATAAGAGTTTCTACCTGCTGCTTTAACAGAGAAATAGATATTTTTAATAATAGTTTTATTATCTTTTATTTATAAAACAACAAAAAAGGTTCCATAAATCTAATAGTGAACAAATATGCATAAAAAAGTATATTAACACAGATTGCATTGACTGATGGCAAAATCATAGTTCAGTTCAGGTGTATATGTTGACAAGTCCGATTTAAGGCTCGTGCCATTAAACCAATCATTGAATGTGTAACTTTCATTGATTTAATAGTGTACAGTACCATATCCTCTAGGAAAATTAAAGGAATCCTGGTTTTATTATCTAGAAGTTTAGATTGCATTCAGCAAAAATAATCGTTTAAAGGTCATAATATTTTAGTATTAAAAAAATAATCCAAACCGTGCATATTTTCAGCATCCACATCCCAAGGTACCAACCCACACACGTTATATGTGTAATTTTTATTTTATGTTTCAATTCTGTCTTTAAATGTGGATTGACCTACGACAATAGCTGATGTGCCCTCACTGTTTGATGAACAATAAATAGCAAAATGACGCAAGATATCAGAATGGAGGTAACGTTAAGGATCTGATAAAATTTAAAGATGAAATTGGCTACACCAAAATAGGACACACAACAGTGATATGAGTATTTAGAGAAAACACTATATTGATATTAGAATGATAGAAAAAGTATAAATGCCTCAAGTAACATCCCAGTGGAAGTGATAGAAGCACGCAAAGGAGTATCCCTTATACAGCTATTGGCACGGGGCTTACACGTATAAATTAAACTTTAGGGAAAACTAGGTTATCTGCTGAGCCAGGTATTTTTGTTTTCACCTTGTTTATTATATTTACAATTTTGCAAGTCAGTTATCAACTCGCCTTAACTTACTGTTCACAGATTGATAAAAAAAAAAGTGTGTCTTGTATGTGTTTTATATGTAGACAATGGATTGATTTCTGCCTTTAAATTACATGTGTGACAACGACTTAAAGGGTACCAGTCATAGCATGTTATACTTACCATAATCTAAATCCTCTTCAGGTTTCTTCACTATATGGTGCTAGCAAATGTATAGATTACTGTTTGGCTGTGTACAAGCTTAAGGGGTGGAAGGGGAGAGAGGTGTGCCAGAAGTGGGGAAGCCCTAGCAGGCCTCCCAAAGGACATGGATCACACCAGTGTTAATTTTGTCGACTAACAATTTTAGTTACATTTTAGTCAACTAAAATCTTTTGAGATTTAGTCAACTAAAACTAAAACAATTCAGAGGACTAAAATACGACTAAAACTAAAATTTTTTTTTTTTTTTAGTCAAAAGACTATGACTAAAACTAAATTGAAATTTGCTGCCAAAATTAACACTGCACAGAGGGGGAGTGGAAGGGGCAAAAGAGACAGACCAGGACTTAGTAGAGAGATACCTAGAGGGGCTGGGAGGGCACAAAGAGACAGAGGGGAAGGGGCAAAAGAGACAGACCAGGACTTAGTAGAGAGATACTTAGAGGGGCTGGGAGGGCACAAAGAGACAGAGGGGCAGGGGAAGGGGCAAAAGAGACAGAGGCTTTAACTAAACCCATTAGATTTTAGTTGTGCTGACTAAAATCTACTGGAGATTTAGTCGGCTAAAACTATTCTGATGACTAAAATACGACTAAAACAAAAATTACTTTTTAGTCAAAAGACTAGGACTAAAACTAAACTGAAATTTGCAGCCAAAATTAACACTGGATCATACCCACTAAGCTGGGCTAATAGTGGCGCTGGATCCGTTCTAAGTAGGTGTCTATGCCTGAAAACTTGAAGCTCAATAGAACGTAATCAAAAGACACGATTTTCTGCAATTCTAAAACAAATGGATCGTGTTGAAAGAAACTTTGAATTTTACTAACTGGCTCACTTTAAATATCCCGCATAGGCTACTATAGTGTTGTGACCTGTAGGAAAAGTGACAACCTCTGGATTGGTTTTCTATGACTATAAATGTCATTATTTTTCTCGCTTTACAACACATAGCATCATTAATGGGACACTATAGGAACCTAGACCACTTCAATTCCTTGAAGTGATCTAAGTAAGTGTCCCTGTCCCCTTAACGCTGCAATTGTAATTATTGCAGGTTTTTTATAATCTTCGATAGTTACCGTGTACGGTTAACTGCCACCTCTAGGCGAGGGAGGTGGGCACAACTTTGTTTTCCTACCACTATAGTTACCCTTTAAATTTTAAGATCCAGCAAAGCAGGTTTAAAGATTTAAATTAAAACGTTGTTTGTATATGGTATGTTTGGTGTATTATAAGATTTTACATTACAAATGACATAACAATAATTGCCTCAAGCTGTATTCCCTCCCTTTTTATTTTGGTAATTATGTAAACCCGTTCATACATAAAAATAAGATATTTTTTAAAAGGGTAATATATTGTACTTCAAATTAAATATAACAATTTTGGAGAGTAAAAATAAAATAAAACCTACAAAATGTATTTATGGTTTTGCTTATATTGATAGATTTGCTGTTTTATATAAGCCACAGAGATTAATGTTGTATATATGAAATATAATGATTTGTTTTCACTAAACAGAATGTCCAAATTTCTCACATTCCGAAGTGTATACACACAAAACCCAGCATAATGAAACCTTAATGCTCCGTTCCAATACCAATACTTTGTTAGTAAGTCTATTTACTTTCAATAGACTTTGTGAGATGTAATTATAAAAAAAATGTATACGTTTTATAGTTTTAATTGGCCAAAAAATAAGATTGACTTTATACAAATGTGTCAACTGGCTATAGATTTGGTTTATGTGTATTATTTACTTAATTGTCATTCAGGTTTTAATTCTGGGCCTTAGTTCTTTGCCAGTTACTATAAAACACTCGTTCGCAGAAGATTGCCATTTTGAGCTGAAAACGTTTTGTAAGTAGCTTTGTGTATTCAAATCCCACAGAGCACAGTATGACATCACACCATTAGATAAAATCTGTAGTACAATGTGACATGTGTCAATCTTTGTGCAGCACTTAGACCTACATAATGTGAATCCTGTATGAAAGGGTTGGACTTAGAGACTGTAGCCACAATTTGCAGCTGCTGTCCAGGAGTTTGAATCATCTGAATCTCAGGCAGCAATAGTTCCATATTTCTGCTGAATGAGGCAGCAATAATTAGTTAGTTTGTTGAAGAGACCCTGGCATTTAATAAATTATTTTTTTAAATGAGATGGGGGGATTTATATTGAGCCTGATTTCCCTGATATAATGCATTTAGTGGACTTTTATCATCCTGGTAAAAAAAAAAATGAATTTAGCAGGAAAATATAAAAATAATTATATTTTTTCAGTATGACTGGTAACAGAAACACATAGACAACCATTCTGAAATACAAGTGAGTATTGAATATATATTTATAGTTTGTCATACGGCACAAAGATTATTATAAGGAACAATATGTTAATTTAATTTGTCTGTGAATTTTCATCTCTCATCAATAAATACCAACTGAACCTCACTGCTTGTACCCTAACCTTAAAATTAGTTGATGTTAGACGTTTTAATGTTTACATTACAAGTGTTATGGATGGCTGAAGATCCAACACATACACAGGATGCCTCGAAAGGTACAGAAAGTAATCACGAAAACCTGTTCCAGGTCTATATGATGCTCATACTATATCTGTTTTCTGTTGGCTAAGATGCTCCTGCCACTAGAGATATCTGTGCAGATCTGGTGCAATTCAGACCTCAACACATGGAGAGCTATATTCTCCCAATGAATCTCCACAATGCCATATGACCTATTTTCTTTAACGCTGTTTCCCTAATTCATTACTCCTGTGCAATTTTTCCCAAACCAGTGGCCCCCAATGCACCTTTCCTGCATTTCATGCCTCAAACGCCCTTTTTGTTCCAAGATCCACTTGACAGGAAATTGCTCTCGCACTTTACTCCTGAGCTGAACGAATAAACCCGTAGTGGAAGGGCATGGCATAATGGAAAACAACTATGAGGGTTAATTTAGGGTACCTGTACCAGGGATGACTTGCTATGAGCCATATTTTATGGTTTGTTTGTTTTTGGTAGAAAAACTGCCTATTGTTAGAATTACTGGTCTGAGCCATGGCTACTTGGAGGGACCTCTGCCTCAATAGAACATTCTACATTTCAGTTTCGTAACTCTACTTGTGTCCCAAAGTTCCTGAATAGGAGATACCATGATTCATCCTTCCTGTGTTCCTATTTCTGCCCTCTTTACTGACTACCTGACCCCTGGTTTATGAGAGCTATATCACAACATTACACTTCCAACCCCCCAATTATTTGACAATTCGGATATGTAACTGGTCCGAGATTCCTGGAATGGTTCCAGATCCCCATCCCTTTCTCTTCATTTCTTTTGCTATTTTTCACAAACCAGTTGCAATATTCCACATATAAAATGGTATTTCATAGATTACCCTGCTAAGAAGAAAATGTATGTATTGCTAGTCATAAATTACTCTGTTTCTATTCAGTGAGCTATACATAGTTTTCATATAGAATGATTTGAAGCTATAAAGCCGCTACAAAATGCAACTCAATTTGTCTTAAAACCAGGAAGGAGTTTGAAGGATTTACTTTAGTGTTTCTCAAATGAAATTATTTGGTGTATTGTTAGGAATTTATTTTCCACACTGATATAACTGCAATAGACACCATGGCACCGACTTGGATTTCTCCACTGTAAAACATGGCGCCCACCTAGGTCACAGCATTGGTCGTATTTGTACACACTTGGGTCACGCTAATGGTCAGTTTAAATCCCACCTCTTATACTCATGGCTCCCCTGGAAGAGACAGCAATATTGTATCCTTATCTATGAATACTGCAACAAGAATGCTTTGTCCAAGACCCACACACTGTATTCGTAAATAATATTGATGATGGGTCTAGGGGATTAAGGCACTGAATTCTCCAAGACACTAAATAATACATCGGATTACAAAAAATTTGTGTCTGATTTAAAAAAAAAAAAAAAATTATAGAAAAAGTATTAGATGAATAGCAAATAAGAGATAGACCTGTATGTAAACGCCACAGATAAGAGCTGCTTAATGCAGTATGATAGTTCCTACTATTCAGATTGCAAAGCATCATGGGAGGTGTCGACCAAAACATCTGGAGTGCCGAAGGTTGCCTATGCCTGGTCTAGGGCATCCCCTTTAGCCATTTACTTACAGCTGAAAGAAAAGTGAAAAAAAAAACAAGTAGATATTAGACTGGCTAAATGTTGAAAAAGTTTGTGGCCTGCAGTTTGTGTACAACTCATTGTGTCATGTGCAATTATTTTCTGAGACAATTTTTCCTTATTTTGATGTACCCCCATGACTAATTACCATATGTTTCGGAAAGAACGCAGAAGACAAATTCAGTGAAATAATCTACAATAACACCGGGAAAGATGATTTACCACTGATAAAGCCTATTTGGAAACCAAACATAACATTACACTATGGAAAATTCATTCAAGGGTGGTGAGTTGTTTGTGTGTGGGGGAGCAGAGTGATACCAGAGAAACAACATAAGGAAAAAAGTAAATCAGACTATTGGAAATACAAAATTAGATGCAAGATGTTATACTCATATATTTGCTGAATTTTTCTCTCTCTCGTTTTCAATTCTTCCTTATTATAGAACAACTACAAGAATTAGAAATCTTAGAGAGATATTGAACTGTTGGCATTAAATTATATGGTAACTTTTGTGTGCTTTCCAGCCATTCCTTTTCCACTTTTACTTATGGGTAATGGGTAACACATGGGTTACGGCAGATTGCTTTCAGGGTGAATGCAAGATTGATGCAATAATACCAATAGGGAAAATGATTGATTAGGACCTGCAAGGGTAGAACGGTTAGTTTTTATAGATAGATATCTTCATCCTGTGTTAGTCTTGTGGGTGGAATTATTAGAGAAGAATTGAAGTAGGGTTTCAGAGATGTGAGTTGCAGATTTTCATCATGAGCATATAGCCGAGTAGAAGCATCTACATGTAGTATCAGGCAGTTCAGATGTAGCAATACTTGTTAGGTGTACTATCTACCTGTCAATGTATGGCATCAATGCAAACAAACATTGATTACTATGTTATTAGATTATACCACTGTCTTCTGCTTGACATAGACAAATGCTGGTTGAAATAATTGCAAGTCTTGGCATGAATGAATGCACTTTAAACATAATTTGACAAATGCAGAAGGATTTGAGGACTCTATTCCCGTGGAGTTGTCATGTCATGTCTATTACTAGCTGACTGTTGCCAATAGGGGGGACCTGGCAGATACTTCCACATCATGTTATAGTAGCAGAAGTAGCAGGTAGGATGCTTAGTGCCCTAATTAATTCACAGGACTTAATATGTATATGAAAACATACACACACTGTTTAGCATTAATGCCCCATATAATAAATGTGCCTGGTTTTAGCCTGGTAAACTCTGTTTACAATAAGTGTTTATAATGCCCACATATACGTACAATATTTAAATTCTGATGGTATTTTGGGGAATCTACATTTTCCATAATAAAAGCAGGGTCTGCTATTGAACAGGAACAGCTATTTGTCAATAATTAAATGTCAGTATTACTCCTATTATATGGTTACTAAAATGGTATTTGTCCTTCTTCATAAATATTTTGGAACATGTATGAATTATATCAAGTCAAGACATACAGTAGAGTCTATAACAAATAATGTCTAGCATGTATGTATTGCAAATAAAGCATTCATACAATTTTCACATTTCATTTAACTAATCCTTCTAGCAATTTCAAATCTATTTTTATGTGGACATTTTTTTATACTTCTTGGTTACTAATTTATATATTTATTTTATAAAAAACCACAAGGCGGTAAAGGGATTAAACTGTATATTATTGTAAATTATAGTGAAACCGTTTTAAATTCGGAAGAAAATGTACTGACATCAAAAATCACATTTACATATTGTAAGGTAATTGATCAAAATGCTTTGCAATTGGCCTTAAAGAACTTTTAAGGAATCCACATATATCATTTTAAATTGCTTGCAATAAAATAAATGAATGTAATTATATGACTGTAACCACATTCAATTTTTATATAATTGTCTATACAATTGCAAGTTAAAACCATTCAAAACCAGAAAACCTAAAGCTAAGGGGGTAATTTGATTTAGACATTGTGGAATCCTTTTGTTTAACATCAATACAATTTGCCCAGAGTAAGGAAAATGAACAATGTGTGTTTGTAAGGGAGAATGCTACTGTTAACTGCTTCAGGTCTGGAGAAAGGAAACAGGTTCTCCAATTGCTTCTGCACCTCATCTTCATCCATCTCTATTAAGTCATAGATGGCTTTAAGTGGTGTTCGGCTCCTTGTCCCTGTGGGAGC